ATGGACAGCCGAGAAGGGGACAAGTTGGTCTTCCGGCTGGCTAAAGCTCGGCATCGCGCTGCTCAGGACATCAGGGTCGTAAAGACTGTGAAGAGCAGCAACGGGGCCATTCTCAGGAAACCAGCCGAAGTCAGAAAGAGGTGGGAAGAATACTTCGAGGGACTTCTGAACGAAGAATTCCCCCGCAAGGATAGCCCACAGATAGAGGCGACGGCAGGTCCCATCACTCCCTGGACGAAGGATGAAGTCCGCCGGAGCTAGGGAGAATGAAAGCTGGGAAAGCAGTGGGTCCAGACGGGGTACCGATAGAGGCATGGAAGGCCCTTGGAGAGCATGGGGTGAGTTGGCTCACAGACTTCCTAAACAACGTAACGGCTGAAGGAAGGATGCCAGATGCGTGGAGGAGCAGCACAATCGTCCCCATCTTCAAACAGAAAGGGGACGCGACGGAGTGCTCCAACTACCGCGGCATCAAGTTGACTCCCCATACCATGAAGCTGTACGAGCGCCTGGTCAACACTAGGCTGAGGGAACTTGTCCCTATCTCGCAGGAACAGTTCGGCTTCATGCCCGAAAGGTCCACCACTGATGCCATCTTCATCGCCAGACAGCTGATGGAGAAGTACCGAGAGAAGCGGCGACCCTGCTACCTAGCCTTCCTGGACCTTGAGAAGGCATTCCCGCCGGCCTGTACTCTGGAGAGCGCTTAGAGAACGTAACGTTCCGGAGCACCTGGTCTCCATAGTGAAGGATATGTACGATGGGGCTAAAGCAGCTGTACGCACCCCGCACGGCTTGACAAAGGAGGTAAACATTACGGTTGGGGTACACCAAGGATCAGCCCTCTTCCTCTTCCTCCTGACTCTAGATGTCATGGCAAAAGAACTCATGGAGGGACCACTGAAAACCATCCTCTACGCTGACGACATCGCCCTGATAGCGGACAGCACTCCAGGACAAGGTGCAGCGGTGGCAGGATGTGCTCGCTGAACGCAAAGAACA